GATTCCTTCCAATTAAGGCTGCAGCTAACATCAGCGAATACATTATTGATCTTTTTTTATTATTTAGTCAGTGGCTTGTCAGTGACGCGACAGTCCGCATCTTTAAAAGTGCCCTTGAGGTCGAGGCGTGTCTTCTAATTGCTTGTTTTCTTCGAACAACAGGACACAAATGCTTCAACCATAGAAAACTGAGCAAAAGCAGCAGGTTTTGTGGTTTTCTTGATCTTGTGAGAATAAACTAAATGTCTTTTAGTTTTGGAGCGTTGGGGCCAACAAATTTGAGGATGTGAACAATCTATTTTAAATTTAAGCGTGTGCACTGACGTATTCATGACACTCACCTTAGCAATCCTCTTACCATCATATGGTAAATGTGTAAATATTGTTAGTATGACATCACATTATTGTTAACATTTTCCTTCTGCAATCAAAGGATGGTGTTAATGATGATGGCGAGGGGGTTTATGAGAGCCATTCACAGTAACAAAACTGGGTGGTGGGAGCAGCGCTGCTGTCCCTACGATGAGGCATCAGTGACACCTGCTGGAGGCTCATGAGAGAAAGAGAGAGAGAGACTTGAGTCACTGCAACATTTATTTGATAATGGGTGAGGTGTTCCTTCTTTTCTCCAGTACATTTAACCAGTTTGCTCATTCACGTTATCTCCAGAAGCAGCCCAGTGAGGTGGAGTACGTGACATGAAACAATGGCGTAAAAAGGGATAACAGGGTGCACATAGTAACACGAACAGACTGCAATCCATGTGCACAGCACATCACCACGGGGCACACAACATGTTCACGCTGTAAAACACAAATGTGGTGATTCAGGGTCGTATTCACACTGACTTTGTGCAGACGTGATGTAACACTGACATCTGCTGTTTGAAAAGCAAGAGCACATCAGTGTCACTGATACATTCCAAGGGTCGATTCCACATCCACAAAGCAGTAAATAATAAATAGGGACTTTGGTTTGAAGGGGGCTGTGGAACCTTTATGTGGTTAAAACACATTATGATTCAGATGTGAGAAGTAATGCCCCTTTTTTCATAAAGATTGAATTGATTGACTTGCAGGCACACATGGTCATAGATATAGACCTTTCGCTACACATCAAAACAATCTACTTTCTTTCTTTCTCAAGGAGAGACGATCCATAAACATGGAAAGAAAATATCCAACATTCACATTTCAGTGTTTATTTTTGCCCTATTTGAGAACGCATTGTGTAATACCCCATTTTCCTATACCTCATTAATTTCAGGAATGCTGACATACAAAAGAATATTTTTTTAGTAGTAGTAAGTATTAAACATGTGGAATTAAATGGTGATATTATCACTCAGATTTCCACTGTACTCACTTTAAATATCTCACCGTTAAAGGATGTTTACTCAAATTATTGTTTTTTTCATACTCTAAGGCACAAATCTCTAATTCAGTAGCATTTATATAAAAACCAAACGTTCTTGTGTCATTCATAAATCTATACCGTGAATGTTTTTGCTGAGGGGGATTGTTCACATGTCCTTCACAGTTTGATTTGTGTGACAATGTGTTCCTGAAAACATCAATCCACTTGTCCTTATCCAACAAACTTCTAAATCCATCCCGACATGATCTTCACGTCCCTTCACACCTTAATCTATGTGATTGAAATGACTCTCAAGTGACTTCCACGTAACGACTCTCGTGTGACGATGCGGATCAGTAGAGGATGAAATTCCTGTGACACCCGGTGTGATAAAAAGCTTTTATAGCTAAAGCCTCTTACAGCATTTAATTAAAACGTCTTGGATTGATATCATTCAAAACCGGTGCAATGTCTTTATTTAACAACATTTAAGAAAACTGACATAGGAAACATCAAAACACAGCTTGATGCTTATTAAATATTTTTTTTTTCCTTTTGTGTTTTATCAGTTCCAATTACTTTGTGGGTTATATTTCACAGATATCTTTGTGTGTTTTGTAGGAGACCAGTGTTACATCTAAGCAAATACGTTGTCCTATTAAATTGCATTTCCACTCCAAGGATTGCATCAAAATGTTTCATAACGTTTAATGTGGCATCAATGTTTTTGACATGCACACAATGAACCTCAGGGTCCTAAATGGCTCTCACGAGTGACACTACACCATAATTGGTGTATCGATACCAGCATAATTGCCTCTTTTGAAACACAGGGGCAAAACACTGTGTGTAAATCATTTTAAATGATATTGCTGGATGCGGATCAAAACCTTTGATTGCATAAAGCTTATGTATGAGTTATAAAGCATGTATCAGTATGTTAGGAACGCCACCTGTCACGCCACACTTAGAGGGTAAATGGGTTGTTTTAATTCTGGGCTCGTTCCAAAAATCCCTTCTAACTTTTAATGAGAAACTTCTAGCAAACCAGCATTGCATTCAATGTCGTTGAAACTCCATCTCTCCTGCTGCCCTTTTTCCAGCTGCTCTCATGAAGGTAGTGATGGGGGATGTTGGCTGAAAGAAAGACAAAAAAACAAACCTCTGTTTGCCTGGAATACTAATATATAAAAAAAATTCTGAGGACCGACCGCCTTCCAGTAACAGTAACAGTAAAGTAAATAAATATGTTGACTATAATTAAATGAGCTATTATGGCAACGATCCCGCGGTCTGTATTCGCCGTCTCATTTTGATAAGCTTCAAAAGCCATGTAGATGATTCATGTAGTGGATCATGCTTAATATTCCAGTCTATTGCTTTTCCTCTATCTATTCAACCTTGGTGTAATTCCCTAACTGGAGCTGCTTTGTTCTCAAACAATTTAGCCAGAATTTATGTAGCGATTTCTCAGTCACATGCCATGAATATTAAAAAATCTGACTGTGTTTAATATATTTCTTTGTTACAGTCATTTAAAAGTCCCACATTTCATGAAATGCTTTGTAGCACAGAATGCTTTATAACAATTACATCCTAATGACACTCTAATTATTCGGTTACATTTTATTTCAAAGCGTGTGATGGATTTCGGGACCCTTGAAAACGTGACACTTGGCCCAATAAAGCATCTGAGCGAGCCGGCTCACAGAACGGCTGCCTTCGTCTCAGATGTTTTGGTTTCTGACACTAAATAGCGGTTCAGTCTGGTTATTAGCTTACATTTGCATCCATAATGCGGCATCACACATTTGGTTCTCCGTAACCTCGACAGTAATTCTGAAGCATTCCCGCTTGCCTTTCGGCTTGAATAAAGATCACATGTTTGCCCTTGGAAACTCTTCCTCTGTGTCTCAATCTGGAAAAGGTCAGCAAAGAAAAACAGGTCAGGAGTGATCGACTAGCCTGCACCCGCGCTCAAACCACACTGAGGATGACATGACAAGTGACTGATGACATTATACTGTGTGTGTTTTGGGGGCAGCTGTTCCTCTGCAGCAGTGCATATACAGCGGAGGAGCAGGTGCATGAATATTTGCCGGTGACGATTACAGTTGAACTGCTGAACTGTGAGTCGTTTTTCTGGTGCAAGTACAAGCCCGGTTGAAAAAAAAAAAAAGAGAAGTGAAAGGTCTACTGAGTCACATTTCCATTTTTTAAATGTCTAACCCCTTGAACATTTGGAGTGCACTGTGGCTTTTACGCCACACGAGAGAGCCACTGCATCATTTTTAGGAGTCCGTTGATCACAGTGGGAAATATGTATGTACCAAACGTAGGTGGTGGTTGTTATTGTGATTCAGCTCCTCGCCGCTGGACTGAGGCCTCTCAGAGGCATGCTGGATATTTACTCAGAGATAGATGGCCAAACAGCACCAAATGAAAAGCCCTGGGGTAATATGAATTTGATTTAGTGTCTCCAGTTGGACTGAAAATGGGGGATAGAAAAACATCCTAATTAACAGAGTGGTCCTTGGCTTCTGATTTCTTTTCTTTAGCTTTGAAAATAACCTGAAGATGAAATGGCTTTTCATCCATTTTCAAATAGATGAAAAGCTAATATTCTTCTCTGACATGAAGAAAAGCAAATGAGACCAGATTAAAATGGATATTGTGAACCAAGGCTGTGAGTTACTGAATAAGCAGGTCTCTGCAGGGAGACTGCTGAGCTCCGGCCTTTACGAGAGGGGTTTATAGTGTGTAGCTGCTGACTAGAAGCTGTGTCCACTCAGGTATGCGGTTTACCAACATAAATGGATGACCATTGCACCAGACCTTTTACAGCAAAGAAATCATCAATCTCTTAAAAAGCTGAGTCATGCAGAGCTGTAAATTGCATCGTGTAACATTAAGACTTCCATTCAGTAGCCCACTCATCCTTTAATTATACTTCAGTAAGACCACTTTGTCATTTGCTCCGGAAAATTGGCGGCGAAAACAAAATGCAGTTGAAGAATATTTTTTTGGGCCATTTGTTGTCAACATTCAAATGTTTTTGTGTATAAGAGTTTAGGGGTTTATTTGGTCACACACTGAGACATCTCAGACATCTGCCATCACCTCAACACAATTTAGACGTGGGATGTTGTCTATGATGGCTAATTAACAAGAAGTTGAATAATAATTTCAAAATGGAAACTTTGCACCTCGTTGTGCCCCTCATCACCCCGGTGGCACCAGACCTGTCTGTCCAATCTGTCTGAGCCCGACTGCAGTACAACAAAATAACGCTGGTGTGCGCACTGCAGCTTCCACTCCACCCGCCTTCCATCCGTAGCCAAGTCAGCCGGTGACAGCCAGAAACACACCGGAAATGAACCCGCCATGCCGTCAAAATAAAACACTCATTCTGCTAGAGAACGAATTTCTGACCTAGTATGTATTGTTCTTAATCTTAAAGGTTGCCTACCGTAATAAAAACATCTGTCATTTCCTCACAGCTACAGCAGTCAAATGCAAATAAATCACTAAATTATAGCTGTTTAAAGGCCGAACCGGTGCGTTGCGAGCTATCCAGTGGCCGCGCAGGCTTTTAATCTGAAGTCAGGACAGGATATGAAATAGCCCCCTCGCCTCCCTTCGGTACGCGCTGACACGCCATCCACCTAGCAGATCCCCACAGAGCCGCCTCGACTGCCGTATTCAGAGATCCCAGCTCCCCCAGTTCCTGTTTCCGCCGCAGGCTTTTTTTTGTTGTTAAGGGAACAGCCATCCTCAGCTGCGCCAGACCGAGTCTCCGCAGCCCCGGTCGGATGCCGCTGGAAGCCGGTATACCATGTCGAGGTAGGCGATACCATCCCCGCCGCGCGGCGGAAACGTTTTTGGTAGCTGCGGTTGCTCGGTTCACAGATTCCCCCTCCCCGCTACGTCGTCGCCCCCCGGCCCTGTTGACTGCGTCGCCGCTGAGACCCCCGGTGACCACAGGGCGCTCGCGGTAGGTTAGGAATCTCTGGTGCCCCGTTACACCGGGTGCCCGTTACTCGGACGCATTCGGTTCGCGGTGTTCCGCCCGGTGAACCTCGCAGCGCCCCTCGCCGCGCTTTCGCCCTTCCGATGGTTATTCTCAGCCGGGCGAAGAGAGTGGAAGTGTTTGAACACTTCCACCTGGTGTCCGTTACCTGCTCCGCGCGGAGTGATGCTGTTTGTTTTCACAGCTAACGGGCATCAACAGGGGCTACAAGCATGTAGCATGCAAGCTAGCTGTCTGCATGGGGTGCGTTTGTTTTGCTTTTTTTTTTTTTTTTTTTATATCCAGCAAATTGTGGCCGCATAACTCAAGTTATCACCTTCCGGCGAGGGTGCACTCGCCTTTTAACCCCCACGCGCACACAAACACACGCACACAACGAGGAAATAAGAGACACATGACTCTCGGGGAGGCGCCCTGGCAAGTGTGCGTGTGTCCTCCGGTGTGGACAAAGCAGCTGCCCGTTAGTCCGGCAAAGAGTCCTCGCAGCCGGGCGTGCGTTTCGTTTTGTTGCTCGTCTTGGAAGTGTGTTGCATTTATTTATTTTTATGAATGATTTATAATGCGTCACATTACGTCACATTACGCTCAGTCCGAGCTTCATATTTTTATTGTCACCTCCTCTGGACAGTCGGAGGAAGAAATGGGAGGAGGGGGCACTTTACACAGCGGATGATGATGATGATAGAAGAGGTGGCAGCACAGGCAGACGGTGTATGTGCTTCAGTGTAGCTCATCTAAAAGAGTCTGGCATCCTGGTGCTGGGGGGGTTAGAGGTTCAAACCCCCCACCTCTGTGGAAGATGTGTGTCTGCCTTCACAGACTGTTAAGGATGACATGCAAATGGACAGCTCACACAGCAGATCACCGTGGATGTGGATGTGTGTAATATTGATATTGTCATGATCTCCACATCTGAAGTTGAAAGCCTTTTTAAAAATGTATATTCCATGTGACCGATTTAATGAGCAATACTTCTTTTTGTTTTCACGTGAAATCAATGTGTGATACCGGTGACAAGGCTTTTCGGTGTCCTCAGCTGTAGTACGTTGTATCAGCGTGTCTTTCCGTGATATTACAAGACATATTGCAACACGCTGTGTTCCTCTTTCCCTGTCAGTCCTTCTGTGGCCTGTTATATAGTGCCGCAATTAATTTTTTGATGTTTCGATCAATTTGCGGCCGATATCTACTTTGTTCTTGTTTGAATTGGAGCCGCTGACGAGGGAGAAACTGGACACCGAATTGACAACTAATGCATCATTAATGTTATCTAATAAAGACAGCCGTGGCAACTGGAAGCAGATGGATTGAGTTAGTTGCCCTCACCCATTCCTGAATAAGTAAACAGTCGTGTGTGTGTGTGTGTGTGTGTGTGTGTGTGTGTGTGTGTGTGTGTGTGTGTGTGTGTGTGTATATTGCGGTGACAGCCGTCAATGCCGTGGCACGAGCGCTCTGTCTCCGATTGCAGAGGGATGTGCTCCTGCAGATGGACTCCTGTCTGTGTTTTTAAGCTGTCAGAGGCCAATTATTTGACATAAAGCAAAGTGACTGACTGAGCAATTTGCTTGGATCTGTGCCACGCCATTTTGGGAATGAATAGGCACCGACATTTATATCAGCCAACTGCAAATAATTACACTGTAGCAGTTTATTTTAGGCTGTGTAATTTTGATGAAGCACTTGCGTTAAATAGAAGCGATAACACTCCAACCAACCATTGGAATTTACTCGGCACGTTTTGAAGTTTTTTTTTTTTTTTTTTTTTTGCAGAAGTTTGTGTTGTTTCCGATCACATTGGACAAATGTTGGACTCGCCGTCTCGTGCTTTGTAACACATGACACTGCATCTTTTAATACAGTACAGTGGGCTCTCTAGAGCGCCTTACTGCAGCTATTTCCTCCCTCTCGCCTCCCTCCGCTTTTCTCCCCCCCCCCCCCCTTCTCTCAGTTTTTGACCTTTGGTGCCTCCGCGTCTCACGCCGCTGTCTGTCTTCATTCCTGACTAATGACTTCGTTAAACACATCAGTGTTGCTCCGCCGGCGAGGTTAGACGCCGTGCGCCTGAGCCCCAAAAATAATGGGCGGCGGCTAATTTCATAGCTCTTTATCTGTATTTAACACCGTGCCCATTCGTCACATGGCGAGCTCAGTTCGCCTGGTTCAGCGCTGCGCTCCGAGTCAAGTGGACTCCCATTATGAAATCGCAGTCAGATTTGTTTTTCATTTCAATTCGGTTGGCAGTACCAGCTTGTCACCTGCACAGCAAGCGCCTCTGTTTGCATGAAAAGCCATTCTAATTTCAAGCATCACAGTGTTTTGGCTCACTGTACTGTGTGTGTGTGTGTGTGTGTGTGTGTGTGTGTGTGTAATGCTTGATATTGGCTTCAGTGTGCTGTTCATACATCCCTCTTTTTGCACCCTGTTGTCCCAGGCATACCAACATTTTCTTCCTCCGGTGTCAGGTGGATGAGAGGAGACGGCTGAATAGAGCGACGGGGGGAAACAAACAAACACATTTTGATGGCATGTTTTCCAGTTTGGGGGGCTTCGTGCTTACAAAACACAAAGGACATTGAAGTGAGGCGGCTCTCTAAGACTCTGCGATGCTCGTAGCGAGCCGCAGTAAGTAGCAATGCTACCAAAAGAGGAAGGCTCAATGTGGAAGCATTGTTTTGTTGCAATAGTTAATCTCTATGCAGGGTATTTCTGCAACCCACTTCGAGACAATGTACTGTAAATAGAGTGGTGGAAAAAAATAAGCTTTTTCGCCTTTGGTGTATCTGAAATGATTATGTATAGATGAATGGAAACGCACTCATTTCTGAGTCTTCTATTATGAAGCACTTGGTCTGTTGGGGAGATAAAGAATTCGCTGCTTCATCCCCATGGTTCAGTGAATAATGTCCAGTGTGGGTATTTGGCCGCCACTTTTCTGAGAGCTTCTGTCTCATCTACCCTTTATTTTTTCTTGCAGTCATCAGTAAATCGATGGAAAAAAACGAATCCCATAAATGCTGATGGAGTGATGTCTTGTACATCAGAGTAGTTGGTACATACGGCTCTGCAGGGTAAAAAACTTCTGCCATCAGTCTTGTCCTGCTGTCGTCCCGCTTGAGGGCCATTATTATCTGTACTGAAAGACAGTGTCTGTCTAGTGAGCGTCCGAGCCAATTGCAGGACGAGTGTGGGGTAGGTTTCCATGGAAAAAAAGCAAGCCGGCCCCTACGAGGCCGCTGAAGCTCAGCCTAAGCAGCCTAGCCCGATCAAGACTGATAGCATGTAGAAAAAAGGCCCCAGCAGGCCTGCCCTGCTGTCTGCCTGTCTAAATGTCCTGCTGCTTGTCTACCTGTCTTACTCTGCCGAATGTGTGAAGGCCGAGTGGAGGAAAGGGGTCCTGTCTGATTAGGAAGCCATTCAGACAGGCACAATAGGAACTGTGCCCGATAGCCATGTGGCATCAGATTGGATTTGTGTAGGGACTCGGTCTAGATCACACAATGCCGTCGCCACAGCTGTCACGGATGGGTTTTCCGGATGTGTGAATGTGTGTTGGGTTTGGGCTGAGGGGTCCGACCCGTCAGAGATCCTGTGTGCTGCCCCAGCTCCGCTCAGCCCTGAGGGAAGGCTACCCAGCCTGCAGTGCACTCGCATCAGAAAGGGGGTGTGTGTGTGTGTGTGTGTGTGTGTGTGTGTGTGTGTGTGTGTGTCTGTGTGTGTGTGTGTGTGTGTGTGTGTGTGTGTGTGTGTGTGTGTGTGTGTGCGTGCTTGCTGTGTCTCTGAGAGTATTGCTGATCCAGCGTGAGATGGGAAGTGTGTCTTACAATATTCCTTCTTCCAGAAATAGGCATGTACCCTCTACCCATCCACATGCAGTGCTACAAGTCTCTCCTTCCCCTTTCTTTCTCATTTTCAGTTGAAAGCACTGAACTGCCCCTTAGTGCACAGCCGCTTTCACGCCTTTGCATTCAGTGACGTGCGTGTGTGTGTACATATTGTCATTGTTTAATATATCTCCTTCAAGGCTTGGCCCCAGAAGAATGCAGTGAATGGCACCTCCTCAGCATGATGAACTGTATTCACATGGGTATGACACACACTGAGAGTTTTTAGCTCATCAGACATTGCTCGGGAACTCACCACGGGACACAAACTACCACCCTTCCCCATCCCTGCCACCCACCCACATACCTAACTAAAAAAATCCCCCGATGCTTAGTGCCATCAAACAGCCTTGTCGGCCCGTCTGAGTCCTCAGCTCATGCCAGGATCAGAGCAGGCTTGGAGGGATTCAGGGATGCTGCGGGAAATTCACTGTCTGGGCTTTCTGCGCCCACAGCGTCGAACCTAAAACGGGATCTGAACCTACTTCGGGTCTATAAAGGGCTCTTTCGAGAATGGCAACCTCCTGGCAACGCATACCCACACTAGCTGCATCTACGAAAGGAAAAGGGACAGAGATTTGAAGAGCGGGAGAGACAGATGGGTTTGGACGGCAAACTCGGAACGAAAGGAGAGGTAGTAATTGGGACAGCTGCACAGCTCGAGGCGTACGAAGTCATATCACCCATCCTTACTTCAGCCCCTCAACCTCCCCTGCCCCCCCCCCCCCCCCCCCCAAATAAAACATTTCCAGAGAGCTAGATACTGGCCATTAGGATCACAGTGACAATAGCCCAAAATTCATTGTGCAGCCAGAACACAGAATGCGCAAGCCAACAAAGAAACACACATGGGGATAGAAGAGAACAAGACTCTGAGCTCATCTGACAGAATGGGTGCAGATCCCACACTTGGGCCGAAAGGTTGTGTGACA